TGAGTTTTCCCGACAATTCATACATGTCCGAATTTGCGGTGCAGAGGAGGGGTGCCTAACTACTTTCATTTATGCTAGACCAAATCCGACAACCCGAAGTCAACTTTGGACGGATTTGTCGCATATTGCGGGAGGCATTTCTGAACCTTGGTCATTGGTGGGTACTTTAATTACCTCCTTCGTCAGACGGAGAAGACGGGCGGCTCGACGAGATTTTGTAACATTAGTCGGGCCTTTAGTGAGTGGATTCTCAACTACAGCTTGCAGGAGGTGGCCACTGACGGACATGCTTACACGTGGGTCTGCGAGACCCAACGGGGTCGGATGGCAGAGAAACTGGATAGATTTTGTCGCCAATTGTCCTTGGATGGAGAAGTATGATGGGAGCCGGGTCCGCCTCCTGCCACGGTTACTCTCCGATCACTCACCTCTTCTTCTCGATTTTGGACGGCGTAGCACTCCGCCAACTGGGTTGAAACCTTTTCATTTTCTGGTCGCCTGACTCTTACACCTGGGGTTCCAAGACTTACTAGAAAAAACATGGGGGCCATCGAATTCCTTCGAGGAGGCAGCCACTGTGTTTACGGAGCAGGCCAAGCAGTGGAACACTACTGTATTTGGAAACATCTTTAATCGGAAGAAGTGCTTGCTAGCCCGAATCTGCGGAATCCAGCGATGTCGTCGATTCTACCGCACGAACCACTTACAGAGGCTTGAAGGCCGCCTTCGCACAGAATTAGCCGAAGTACTTCGAAAAGAAGAGATGCTTCTGATTCAAAAAGCCACGAGAGATTGGCAATTCCTGGGGGATCGCAACACATCCTATTATCATAGACAGGTTAAGCACCGTCGGCGTCGGAACCGCATTACCGAAATGATAGCCGATGATGGGACCCGAGTGACGGAGCCGAAGAACCTTAGCAGGCTGGCTAAGGAATATTTCGAGAAAATTTACACGGAGGTGGCACAGGCTCAAAGTCATCAACCCCTGGGGTCTGCCTTCCCTACTTGTGATGCTTCTAGTGTTCGCGCCATGGAGAGTGACATCTTGGACAAGGAGATCGTTCAGGCCTTGCAGAATATGGGCCCACTGAAAGCTCCGGGGCTAGATGGCTTGAATGCACTCTTTTATCAGAAGAAGTGGGACATAGTGGGGCCTAAAGTTACAGTCTTCATCAAACAGATGTGGCGGACTGGATTTGTCCCGGAATGGGTGAACCGCACTCTCTTGGTGCTTATTCCAAAGGTGGAGAACACAATGATGATCAAACAATTCAGGCCCATTAGCCTTCTTAACGTGGTTTACAAAATATTCACTAAGGTGTTGGTGAACCGTATGAAAGGCACTCTCCCGGACCTGGTACACCCGGCTCAATCTAGTTTTGTTCCCGGCCAACATATCACGGACAATGTCATTGTGGCGCAAGAGCTTATTCATTCCATGCGGGGGAAAAGAGGGACGACAGGATTTATGGTAGTCAAGGTAGACCTCGAGAAGGCTTACGACTTCCTTCGATGGTCCTTTATTGAGGAAACCCTTCACCTTGCAGGATACCCGCAGAAGTTCATCACCGCGGTCATGGCTTGTGTCCGGTCAGCCTCGATGAACCTGTTGTGGAATGGGGCTATTGGGGAAGAGTTCAAGCCCACCAGGGGAGTGCGCCAGGGAGATCCTATCTCCCCTTACCTCTTTGTCTTGTTCATGGATAGATTGGCGCAGCGCATTTGTGCGGTTGTCGAAGCCCGAGAATGGCGCCCTATGTCAGTTGGGCGAGGCGCCGTGAAGGTCCCATTTTTCATGTTCGCGGATGATTTGTTGTTGTTTCTGGAGGCTTCGGATGATCAAGCGTTTGTGCTTTCGAGCATACTCCATCAGTTCTGTGCCTCCTCGGGCCTGAAGGTTAGTGCTACAAAGACACAGGTGTTCTTCTCCAATAATGTTCACCTGCAGGAGCAACAACGCCTAGCCTCGGCCCTCAATTTCACTCTGACAGATAATCTGGGCAAGTATCTAGGTGTCCCTATTCTTCACGGGCGTGTCACCCGGTCCACATACTCTCACATCGTGGAGAAGGCGGAAGCGCGTTTGACCGGATGGCGAATGCATAGTTTATCGCTGGCAGGTAGAGTAACACTCACCCAATCAGTGTTAAATACCCTACCGTATTATACGATGCAAAAGGCCCTTTTCCCGAGCACGACATCCGACGGTTTGGCAAGACGATCCCGAGCCTTCGTGTGGGGAGGTACAAGTGACCGCAAACGAGTGCACTTGGTGGCGTGGAAAGACGTTTGCAAGCCACGCGAGTAGGGTGGCCTCGGCCTACGAGACCTTCGCTGAATGAACGAGGCACTATTAATGAAGCTTGGGTGGGGCCTTTTAACGAAGCCGACGGCTTTATGGGTACGGTACTCAAGGCAAAATATGGTTTAGATTTTTCTGGTGGGGTCTATGTGGTTAAATAGTGTGAAGGATCCTCACTATTGCGTGTGATTCGGTCAGTGTCACCCAAAATAATGGCAGGAATTCGGTGGTCAGTGTGTAATGGCGAGAAGGCACGGTTTTGGCTAGACCCGTGGCTCGGGTCGGAAAAAGCTTTGATCACGCAAGTTACAGAACACAACCGGGTGGAGTGCTTGACCTCGAAAGTGGCTGACCTCGTAGAAGACCGGGGGAACTGGAAGTGGGAGACCCTACATAGTGTGCTGCCTTCCTCCGTGATATTACGGATTGCTGAATTTCCACCACCAAGGCCGATGGCGGGCGAGGATCGACTCATTTGGGGCGCCTCAGAGGATGGTCGCTTTACGACCAGGTCAGCCTACCACGCGATATCACCGTGCGAGCAAGAGTCGGAGCCCCAACTGTGGCGTCTCGTATGGCGCGCTCAAGCTCCTCAACGGGTTCGAACCTTCTTATGGCTGGCAGTGAAGGAGAGGATCTTAACTAACTCTGAGCGTGTTCGTCGTCATTTTGCGGTGTCGGGATCATGTGACCTATGCGGTGGCGAGGAGACACTCGCTCATGTTCTCAGAGATTGCATGCAAGCCTCTCAGCTGTGGACGCAACTCTTACCGGCAGCGAACTCCTCGGATTTTTTTGGGGCGGAGCTCATCCCATGGCTACGCCGGAATCTTCGAATTACAAAGTTGGGAAATATCGAGAACTGGGGAAGTTTGTTTTCGGTGGCCGTGTGGCGGTTATGGAAGTGGCGGAATGACCGAGTATTTTCGCACTCTTGTCCCAGCGCCGCTGCGATGCTTGAACTAGTGTTAAGCGACACCGAGAATTACCTACGGGCGGCAGCGGACTATAGACGAGTAGGTGGTCAGTGTTATGTAACTCGTATGGTGCGGTGGTCTCCCCCGCGGCGGGGAGGGTGAAAGTCAATACGGACGGCTCGGTTAATCGGGCCACGGGCTTAAGCAGTACCGGGGGTCTCATCCGTGATGATTTGGGCCGTTGGATTGTGGGGTTTACTATGAATATTGGCGCGGGCACGGTTCTGTGCTCCGAGCTTTGGGGTTTGTTACAAGGCCTTACGTTGGTGTGGAATCGGGGATTCAGGCAGGTTGATGTGGAACTCGATAACCTCCGAGCGACGCAGCTGGCCCTTCGTTCATCTCTGGACGTCGGCGACTATGGAGAGCTCGTACGGGCTGTCCACGAGATTATGAATAGAGATTGGGAAGTTCGAATCCACCATGTGCATCGAGAAGCGAATTATGCGACTGATTTTGTGGCTAGCTTAGCGGCTTCATACCCGGTTGGATTTCAAACGCTATTTTCTCCACCCCCGGGACTCAGTATTTGGCTCGATCATGATAGTTTATGTCTCTCATCGTAGACAAGTCCTAGAGTAGACTCTAGGCCTCTTTCTTTGTACCAAAAAAAAAAAAAACGAAGTTTTGAATAATATTATTATTTTCTTAATTTGTTATGGATTAGATTATATTTAATTTTTATTTATATTTTTGTATTTACTACTCTTATAATATTCTGCTGTTCATGCAAATATACGGGTTAATTACTAGTGCGCACATATTACTTACCAAAACACTAAGACTATTGATCTAATAAATGAATCTTACTCATTGGTGAATCAAATAAGTAATTACCAAATACAGTTACCCATTTATTATCTTATGAATTAAGAGTACAAGTAATAATTGAAGTCTAATTTATTTATTGAATTAGTATAAGATAAGCTTATCCTCCATAGTCCGTTCAATAAATTCTATTGGTGTAGTTTTCCTTAGTGTAATTTTCCTACAAATCTATTAGTATAATTCATTAGTCTAGATCAATTAATTCTAAAATTACATTATAACCGTTCACGAAAGTTTATTTAGTTCTACTTGGATTGTAAATCATGTTTATGTTTTACAATATACCAATATTATGATCTTCTGTTAACACGATGAACAATATTATTTTAAAATAATTGAACTTTTTCACATTTTTATGCAAACACTTTTAATTAAGGAAAAAGCTACTTGTACAACTTTTTTATACTAACATTCAATGACAAGATGATGTAGCACAATGTGGGTGGTTGAGATGCAAATAAATATATGGTGCAGATTTGAGTTAATAATACTTTTAACTAATGTTGTCAACTACAATTGTACATGTAGCATTGCCCTTTAATTAATACCGATTCTCGTTCAAAATAAAAAAAAAAAATTACTTTAAACTAAAGCACAAGTTTAGCTTTATCCTTTTCTGGTAACAGTACTTGCTAAGCCAAGCATAGGTCAAATAGCCTCTCCTTCCAAACATAGGTCAAATAGCCTCTCCTTCCAACTCCAGTTTCTAGGATAACCCCAAATTAAAAGATTTAAATCCCCCAGAGCATTTTCACATCAGAAGTCAATAAAAATTATTTTGGTAATCAGACCATATTTTTTTCCCCTAATCTATATGAAACTTGAGCAAAATTTGGACAATCCCAGCCTATATAAGAAGCTGACAAGACAAAATAAACATGAAACTTAAATTAGCCTTTGATTTGAGGATTGTTTGATGGAAGTTGTTGCTGCTGCTGGGGCTGTCCTTTGGGTGGGAGCTTAGTGGCCATGGCTCGTAATTCATTGGCGATGTCCGTGAAATTGGGCCTTTCAGATGGTTCGGAAGACCAACACCTCTCCATCAGAGCCCTCCAATCAGGGTCACATGTTTCGGGCACCAGGGGCCGCAGCGTGTTGCTCACAATACCACCTAACATGTTTAAAGATGGAACATAATATTAGAGAGAGAGAAAAGCAAGTCATGAAAAAACGTGAGATGATTGATATTTAGGCATACCGATGATGGCTCCATAGTGCAAGTCGGCATAAGGTTCATCGCCTGTGAGGAGTTCCCACATTACGATTCCAAATGAAAACACATCAACCTGAGAAGAAGCCAATTCAAGACCAATATAACAAGAATTAAGAATTGATAAAAAGGCCCAGTTTTTTCTTCTATTTTCGTTTTCTGTTCCTGTCTTACGAGATGCATCGAGAAAAAAATAAACTAAAACAAAAATTTCAAGGAAAGATTTTCAATTTTAAACTAGAGTGTCAATAATCCTTTTCTTAAAAGAGGCAAAACCTGAGAAGCAGTTTATCTCTAAGAAATATCTTGCCCACTTACAAATGGGGAATCTTCACAATAGGAGGTTGTTGCTAGATCAAAATCAAATAACTCATTGCTGCCTAGGCTTTGCTGAAAGTGATGGGGTCTTATACGGAAATTTTAGAAATGTGAAAAAAGGAAAAAAAAAAAAAAGTCGGACCTTCTCAGACACCAGGCTACTGCTCCCATTGAGAAGCTCTGGAGCCATCCATGGAAGAGTTCCTCTGACCCCACCAGATATTAGGGTTTGGCATTTCACCTTTGACAGTCCCAAGTCACCAACCTATATGCATTAAGAGAAATGAGACGAGCTTTTGTCGATAAAATGTATATATATCATAAAGAGAAAAAAAGACAAAGGACACGCATTTTTCAGAGTAAAGCATTTTGAACTAATTCTGATTAGAAAGAATACAAATTTACAAATTCATTAAAAAATACACTTGACATATATATACAACTGCGTAAAATAAGTGTATTCTACCCCATGTCCATGCAAATACATTTCGATAATAATGAAGGTGACACTTGTCTTGTTCCATTCATCCCATTACAATCTTTGTTAAAAGAGCCACGTGTATCATATAGAAAAGATATTACTCTAAACACTCATAGATTTGGAGCATACATATAAAAATTTCAAATTTCTAGACCCCCTATGTATATTTACCTACAAATTGTCTAGTAAAGTCACTCCAATACTAACGGTCAGCATTAAGTCATAGGGGTAGCCATACAAAATGTTGGTCAAGTGATTGGGTTTAGTTAGTTGGTGACAGACAAAAAATTTCAAAAAGCAGATGTTGTGGAAAGCACACAAGTCAGCTGAGATAAGTTGAGACTGATTAGATAATATGCATTTATTTGTATAGAACATAAATTAGGGAAAAAAAAAAATCAACTGAAACTGGAATTAGTTACCAGTCTACTTGGATTTCTCGTAAAGCTTCTTGTTTGGCCAACAATCCCATCATTAAAGGACATTGTTAATATGATGTCAGACAATGTGAGGTTAAACACTAGGATAAACTCAACATTGTTGACCAACTTAGTAGGTAAATTATATTTACCTAACTTTCAAGTCAAGAGTAAATACTAACATAAATTAATATATTTAGAGTGCAAATTGATACCATTTTATCCAAAAATTTCTCACTCAAATAAATTTTACTTTTTGAAAATCATACTATTCACCTACTTTCAATTTTCACCTACTCCCACCGATCACTTCAACTCATCATTACCAATCATTAATACACATTTATGAAATTCACAAATCATCACCTCATAAATTTGACACAAATCTCATGGAAACATCATTTTACTATCTTCATACCAAATCAACTTTGTTCATTATATCTCCATTCATTAACAAATCTCAAATTCCTTCTCGCTAAAACAAAAGAATTCGAAGTACGTGTATGTGATCACCCTGTACGTTTGCTTCTTGTTCTGAAAATTTCCACTTTATACGATGAACGAGTTAAGAGCTTCTAGCACTTTAACAGCCTCTCTTCTCTCAATGTTTCCCAGATTGGCTCAACACACCAATCAATTAGGTCTAACGAATCAGACTAAACCATTTAAATGGTAACTCACTTGATTCTTTATTGTATGCTTCAGACAAACCATATCTAAAACCTTAGGTTCGATACCCATTTGTAGCTTCTGATGGATGATACTTCCAGAATGACGATGTAGATTTTTTCATATACTTTTATCCATTTTAGAGAGCAACACTAATGCTGTTGACATGACATTTTAGTAAATCCCATCCCCACTGCCTCATATTCTTACTAAACATTACGCAATCAGGGTGCAGGTTTGAACACTTGATGAAAGTACTCCGTTCTTTCTTATACATTTCATGCTCTTCCTTTTGGCAAAATAGTTTCAACAATTTAGACATACAAGGAAAAAAAAAAGAATATAAGTTATCATCAACAGATTCATTTATTTGAAGCCTTCAAGGCTTTAAGCATAAGCAATCTCGATCTGAGACAAGATTAGTACCACGTGTATGCTTTGCTTAAAGTTGCCAACTAAGATAGAACAGCTGGTGAATATTTTCTAATAAAGAGAACATTTTAGCACAAGTTGAGGCATCTTTCTCTACTAAGAGGTTTGAATGATTTCTATGTAACCTTACCTTCAGATTAT